CCTTAATTTATATATGTTTATATATAACTGCTATTGTGTACACAGAACATCTTCTAAAATGAATTTTATGTCTCAGCTGGATATGATTGCGAATAATGGTAAATAATAATATTACAACCTTTTAGCATAAAATTGTCAATAGTACTTTAGAGGTATTTGTCTACCTGTTTTGTAAGATCAAAAATATTTTAACATTACATACAACTAAACAACTATTTTTCTATCTTTTATTTCTTGCTTATAAAAAATTCTATTTTATTTCACACTTTAATTTTTTTTTTTAAATTAAGTCCAAAAGAAAAAATGTGTTGGGTAAATTTTCATTCGAAGAAAACATCTATTGACCAACTACATCCTTAAATCAGTGTTACTATATACATGGAAATTTATTTTATTTTTTAAAAATACTTCATGGAACAAGAAAGGTGTTGCTTTTATGCGTTTGTAATCAGAAGTTCACTATAAAAATACCCAAAAAAATGTTCTCCAACGTTTGTAAAATATTAAATAAAATTTTAATTTTATTATTTGTTACATAGTATAATACGTAACCAAAATTATAATTTTTAATTGTCCATTCATAGTACAGGTAATTATTAAATACAAAATCCACATCAATTAAATCAAAAATGAAATGATTAAATAATTGTGGCCTCAATTCACCTGCCATAATAAATTTCTCCCAAAACGTCACCGTATACAGATTTGTAGACCAAAAGAAAATGCATAGAGTAATAATTAAAGGCATCAAAGCCTCTAGAACATGGACGATGCCTCCTGTCCTGCTTCGCCCCTTTTAATCTGCACACTGCTGGCGAGCTTGTCACTAGAATCTTCCCCATTTCTCTACAAACGCAAATGTCGTATCTATCAACACATCATCAGAATGTTCAAGAACTCAAAACTTCCCTTCTTTCCTCGTGTGTATAAATATCCCAACTCGGCAGTGAGTTCGATTGTCCCTTGCCTGTGTTTTTAAGTTATATCAGTCTCAAACAAGCTAATTGACGCTCTCTTGTATTAGTATTACATCATGAGACAGCAACTCGACTTCATGCGACTGCAGCTGTTGCTCTTGCTGTGTTACGCTGCCTTATCCAATGGGTCTTTGCTGCCATTCATGGATCATCCAGGCAGTGGCAATTTGTTATTTCCTGATCCGTTCCGGGCGCTCGAGCAAATCCCACTTGGCCTCGAGAGGGACGAAAGCCTGGCACTGTCTCCAGCCAGGGTAGACTGGAAGGAAACACCCGAAGGTCATGTGATCATGTTAGATGTGCCAGGGTTGAAGAGAGAAGAGCTCAAGATTGAAGTTGAGGAGAACCGGGTGCTGAGAGTGAGCGGGGAGAGGAAGAGAGAGGAAGAGAAGAAGGGTGATCATTGGCACAGGGTGGAGCGATCCTACGGCAAGTTTTGGAGACAGTTTAGGTTGCCTGACAACGTAGACTTGGACACTGTCAAGGCTAAGCTGGAAGATGGTGTGCTTACATTGTCTTTGGCTAAGTTGTCTCCTGACAAGATCAGGGGTCCAAGGGTAGTCAGCATTGCTGGAGGAGACGACAGAGAACCTGCCAAGCTCAATAGTAGCGAAGCCAAACAGGAGCTCTAGATGTTTTTTATAATTAACCTTGTTAATGTTGAGACGAGTTTTTGCAGGAAATAAGGTGTTGTGTTTTTAAGTAATTTCACACTACTAATAAGAATGGGATGTGTGATGTAAGGTATAGCTGTTGTGTAACTTGTGTTCTCTTGTAAGTGAGATGTGGAATGGATGGAAAGAATAGACTCCACGCTGTATGCTTGCATTTATTCATACAGTGCAGTAATTGTTCAAACATTAAGAAGAATAACGAAATTCATGAAATTACATACAAAAATACTTTTCGTAATTGAAAATCAAATTAATTTTGTGAATAAGAAAATACGGAAGTATAAGTTAAAATAAGTTCATTTTTTTTAATGATAAATTTTAAATTTTAATCTTATTAATTAATGGGGTCTCGTTGAGATTAATCTCAAATGTATTATTTTGCAAAATTTCGTAAATCTTTTTTTTTTATTAAATGGAAGAAATTTAGAAAATCTTATTAACATAAATACAAAAGATTAATGATATATCTTTTTTATAAAAAAATGTAATTATATAACTTTTCACATGAATTTTAATTATTCACTATAAGTCTATATTAACACGATTAATTAATCATATTTTAAATAAATTAAGTGGATTTAACACAATTGAAAAATGATTTATCTATATTTATGTTAATATAATTAATATATGAAATATGCTTATATTAAATTCAAATTTATTTATACTGTTTATATCGAATTATGGTTTTGTGTATAAAATTGTAACATTTTAATAAAAAACGGTAAATAAAAAATACATTTCATTTCCTGACCTTTTCGACCGGCAATGGTCAAGAGTGGAGCGCCTTACCGTGGGGGGTCAAAGCAATAAGCGTTAGAATTTAGGACATAAATGATAGAACGAACCAACAGGCGAGAAACAGGCAGACCAAAACTGTGAAGATGCAATAGATTTTAGAACACGGCAAAAAATGATGGCAAATGGAAGCAGCAGATTGGGACTGAGAGGAACCAATCACCAGCAGTTGACCTCCGCTCGACGAGTTCTAAGAATCCCAATCATATGCAGATGCTCCCCTGACTTCACCACCCGTTACGCCTTGCTGGGACTTACTCCCTTCGCCTCCAAATCCGACGTAAACCGAGCCTACAAACGTCTCGCTTTGAAGTATCATCCTGATGTTTATAAAGGGGAGGATGTCCCTTGTAAAGATAAAGCATTCAAGGAGATTAAATCTGCCTATGAGGTGAAGTTATTATCCTCTTACTGGCTTTTGGGTTTGCCTGTTGATTCATCTTTTGGTTTAATGTGTTGCAGCTGATGTACGTTTTGGTTTGTTGGTCAATGTTGAGATAGATTTACGAGTTTAGCTTCAAAGGGTTTCTGTGAAAGTACTTCTCAAAATCTATGTCAGTTAGGCTGGATATCTAGCTTATATGAAAATAGATGTTTTCAGAATTTCCAAGGAAACTATCATGCATTTGGTATGGACAAAAAGATTGCAGAGTTGGTTGGCTGGCATATACTCTTATCCTCTTGGTTGGCTTCCCTTTTTTTTTTTTTACCTTGTATTAATTGGGTACTGAAACAAGATCACTTATAGGTGCCAATGGGTTGCCAGCCTAAGTACACATAAGGTCTAAAAGTTCAGCATTCTATGCATCTATAACTGTTACCTATTAATGACAAGGAGATCAAGTTCAATAATCAGATTGTACATGTTTAATCTTTTGGCATCAAAGGACCCCCTATGACAGCAAAATTTCAGCCAAATTATTAGTAATTCAGCCCAACGCACATCTCATTCCCTAAAAATGAAAGTGACTGCAGTAATTCTAGCTATACCCACCCCGCACAACAGTAACTGGTTTCACCCAGGATGAAGCATCTTTATTAAGTTGGTACTACTAGGAGCATATGAGGTTGGAGGAAACCATTCAAACACAATAGGATATCTGTGAAAAAGGCTGTGGTTTAGAATAGGTGAACGTCCTGAATATTTCATTTCTTGTTTTCTAAACAGAATGCAATAGATAAGCCAAAAGAAAAAGAACATAGGGCAAGGTGTATACAGTTGATGTTATGACGTTTGAACAGGATATTTCTGCATTTGTCAGCCAAGGAGTAAGATCTGTAGGATCTCATTGTTACTGGCAAAAAGTTTTTCTGCCATACAACTTTTTGTTTGACTGAACTCTCCTGCCTCTCACTTTGAAACATTGGGCAAGCATCTGATAGCCCTTGGTGACATGTCTAATAAATATCAAACATTTGCTAAGCAACTGGCTTCACAGAAATAAATATTGCATAGTCTTGAACTCAACAAAATACATGATTTTAGCCATTCAACTTGATACCATTTGTTAATATCTGATCCAGACATTATTGCTAATATGTTTTGTAAATCGATTAGCTGGTTTATATTGAAATTACATGAACTTGGCTCATATAAAATCGACAATTTGGGAATCAAAGTCCTCATTTTCTATTCATTGTGGACTATTAAATAATGGCACTTTGGAGGAAATAGAATGTCCAAAGCATAGGCCTGTTGTGCATATTCCTTAAACCTTGCTGTATGCTCTTAAATTTTATATTAGTTGATTGAAGCTATCTTTTGTGATTCCTTATCTTTCTTAATGTTGCATTTTGCCTAACTTTCAAGTTGCTTTAGAATCTTTCAAATACCTGACACCTAGCAAGCAATTTTCATTTTTGCCAATGAAAAGAATTCGAACTCAAAATTTCTTATTTAAATACCTGTCAATTGTAATCTGGACTCTTCTACAGGATACAGTTGACTAAGATTCTTGTAGTCGTCTTGCACTTGTTCCTTTAGTTCCAACTTTTGGTTTGCTTCTCAGCCTTGCGGGTTGGCTAATATTTTGGCAATATTTAAGCATTTCAATTCTTCCCCATGCAGTGCCTGATGCAGAAGTTTGAAGCAGATGAGTTGCAAACTGAGAAGGATTTTGATGAATATGATGATTGGGAAGAGTGGATGGGATTTGAAGGAGGGATACCTGTTATATACAACCCCTTCTAACTTAATTTTGGCATTTTTTTTATGTCACTTCAAGTGATCTGCTACTTGTTAATAGCTTCAGAACTGCTGAACTGCTTCAAGAACTATCACTGTAAATTGCTTATACCTGAAATAGGAAAAGAAGAAGTAGAAGAAAGGAGGTTGTCATGTATTTTTGCCTCTTGTTTTCCCTTATTCTACCATTGAGGCAAGAAGCATGTGCAATTCCTATATATGTTTGAAATGGTAATACTACGCTGAATGTTATGCTTGTAATATTTTGAGACAGTTTCCCATTGGCATTCACCATCCTTATTGTACTAATACAATTATTCCAGATCCTTTTTCATCAAGAGTAAGGGCAGAGATTACATGATTTAATATTCTAACTCCAAATAAATATAAATTTTTGGTCTTGTTTTGCATGGTAAAATCATTAAATAGCAGGACCTCTCCTTTCGAACTCAGTTGCAGTAAACTGAGGACCCATCCGGGAGATGAAGGGTACTACAGTGTTTTGAAGCTAAGCAGCAATTGTATACTGGATTAAGTTTCTCATCACCTGGTGACTTGCGGGTCATGTACTCCACATCTAAGCAACAGGGAAGGCAGGCTTTGGCTTTTAAACTTGCTGCTGAAGATAAAACTACAGCTGATCATTCAACCCTGGAATCAATTAATATTATGCAATATGCTTAAAATAAGGCAAGGTACTTGGAAAGATTAAGCATGCTCATGTTCCACGACCTATGATTATGAGCTGTAGAAGAAGTGCACATTGTCAGGACTGTAGATTGAACAATTGATGAAGGAAAAAGGATGCAAGAGTGAATTAAGATTTCTGAAATTCTTATTGAATCAAGAATTGATTACAAGCTCAGATTTTATAGTTTCAGATCCGTTAATATTATTTTAACTGTTTTTCTTGCACTTTGTAATCAGTCAAAGCCCTTCCCTCCATTTTGACCTCTTGCTTATTTTTGTACTACTTTTTGTTAATCTATAAATGTGACAAATCAAGTTACAAATCCTATTCTGATTAAATTAATCTGTTTTAAGGTCATACGTAGTTTAGTAAATGAACAAATTTCATTAACTGTTTTATGTTAATCTATAATGTGACAAAATCGAGTTGCAAATTTTAAATATGATTGATTTAATTTGTTTTGGGATCATGGGTATTTTAGTAAATGAATAAATTTTGTTAATTTGTTTGTGATTTTGAGGCGGGATGTTTACTTTAAAAATTAATTGACGTGAGCTAAACCATGATCAAAACTTAGAGATTTATACATATTTTACCTTAAATTATATTTATATATACAGAATATTTTTAATTTAACAGATGTGAGATTTCTTCTATCATCATTTCAACACTTTCCCTCATGTGTAAAGACTATAAATTTATCACATGACATGAATCAACATACGAGAAATTCACCAAAGTTAGGCGTGACAGATATTAAAATGGAGTCCCTGCCAATGGGTTTAAGCCCCACCCCAGCAACAATTACAAATGACTTTTAGAGATGTTTCTTCATTAATCTGATATGACATTTAAGTTTGTTTGCCCCCCAGAAATAGTTGAGTCTGGTAGGAAGTTAACATAATGTATACACGTATACATGCAAATCATTTGACCAGGAAAAGATAAACCAAAACTAACCCCGTTAACTATGGAGAAGAAGAGATCAGCCCTTCCACAGATTTGGAATGAATTTAACAGGAGAATGTTGTGAGAGATACAAGTCTTCCTGCACTGCCTTTTATTCAGGTGTGATATCCTCAACTCACAGTCATTAATTATGCCTCCCCTCTCTTCATTCTTTTGTTAATCCCAGTATCTTAAAGATTGTTTTTACAAATCAGTGCATATTAAAATAGTCAGACATGAGCAAAAGTGCATGATATAGATCTCCATGAACACATGTTTTAGTTATATTTCAGAGTGTTTTCCATATGAATTTCCTTGCTGTGTGACAACCAAAGCAGCAGATAAATTTGTATCTTACAGTAAATTCTGGGAATGTAATCTATTTTCTAGTGTGAAGACATTTCAGATTTAAGGCATATGTGTAGGATTCATCACCTTTGACAAACCCTTCCCCTGCACCTTTCTTCTTCTGATGCAGCTGATTTTTCTCTTGATTCCTATAAGTTATGGTGTACTTTAATTATTGAAACCTGTATAGTAGGTGTTATTTATCACACCAAATACAAAGCTTTCTACAAAGTTTTCAACATTCAATTCTCTTCTTTAGGATTGTACTTTTCTTTACTTTTTCTTGGTTGTTTACATTTTTTAAAAGAATTTAATAACTTACTGATACCAAACTGGAAGCCATTGTTGTTTTCTGAAAGTTACAAGTTAATACTTGCCAGAGGATTCAAATTAACAATGGTATGGATCACAATTCACGACTTGTTAGTAATCATGTGAGAAAGCCAAGGGAACATCAGAAAGAAACCAAATAGAAATAGTGATTTTGTGCATTTTCCATGCTTCCAATGACCTTTTAGCTTTTGTTACTGAAACTGGTTGTTCTAACTTGTCACAGTATCAGAAACTTTAAGCAATATTTCCTTGGATGGTACCTTTAAGTACTGCAGTGATGAAGTTCAAACTTCCTTTTTTGCTAGTTGTAGTGGCCCAAACTTAAAAGTTTGAAACATCTACATCTCTGATATAATCTACTAGGAACTAATCTGCAGAAGCATTCTCTGAAATACTCTGCGGGATAAGTTGTGCAACAGATTATTGCATATCACTTGCCAGTGTATATCTTCCAATGAGGTTGTTTAACTTGAGCCTATTTTATATCTTCCTGAAGTCTGTTCAATCTCAATTTTTGTTGGTTTTCTTGTGACTTCTCTAGATATTCTTAGATAATGGCGACCATGGAACCTTTTAGAGGGCAAGGAGGCATTCAGATGCTGCTAACTGCAGAACAGGAGGCCCAACACATAGTTTGCAGTGCAAGAAGCTGTAAACCTACTTCCAATTTCATATCTCAAACTGATCAAAATTATGATATTATTGGATGATTAGTTGACTAAATATGCTGCTTGAGTAGCTAATTTTGTTGTTTAATTAGAAGTTATCCCTCATCATATGGCACTCCCCTTTTTCCTTACAGTTTGCTTATGTTTTCCCTATTTCCATTTTGATGTGGCTTTTCACTGAAATCATGCATTGCTCAGTGAAGATGGCTAGGCTGAAGCAAGCAAAAGGAGAAGCTGAAAAGGATGTGGCCCTTTATCGCTCCCACATGGAAACTGAATACCAAAAGAAAATTTCCGAGGTACATACTAGCCAGTGGATGAATTATTTGCCCCTGCAATCATTATTCTGGACACATCTTTTGCCACAGAATGTTCATCTTCATAACCTTGATTTTACTTTATCTGCTGTGTTGGCTTGAATCATTGCAGACAAGTGGAAGCTCCGGAAACACTGTGAAAAAGCTTGAAGAGGAAACTGAAATGAAGATTAAAAACTTGGAGGAATCAACCTCGAAGGTATCAAAAGAAATAGTCGACATGCTCATGAAGCACATTACAACTGTGAGGACTTGATACATGGAGGTATGTGAGTCTAAACCAACACATGCAGAGCATTAGTCCTCTCTTCAAATTTTTCTTAATCTACAGAGAGTTTAACTATTGTCCATCTCATTGCTGAACTTTGACTTCATTCAGTAAGGGAGACTTAATTTTCCTTGCACGGCAATAGGAATTATATTATTTGCTATATGAACACAAGGGCTGTGTCCCTTTTGCAAAGATGGTTAGAATTCTTTTCCTAAAGTCTATAATAACTAAAGAAGACCCCCAACTGCAAAGAGATCAACTTATTAGCCAGTTTTGTTCTCTTTCTTTCCTCTTATGATGCTCTTTTGATCCGTTCATGTACTTTCTGGGGTTGGGCGTCAAATACATGATTCTTTCTAGGAAAATTTCTTTGGGAAGAAAGCAGATTCAGAGAAGGCCTCCCCAGAAGCATCTTACCTTTCATCACTGCATCAATTTATCTCTGTTGAAACTTAGCATTTCTATACTTTCCAGTCGATGAACAGTTAAAAGAGACGGTATTCTGAATGATACCGTTAAAATTAGGCGTCGACTGATGGATTAGATTTCCTATATCATATGAACATGCAGCACTTATCAGGTTGATTATTTACGTTCTCATATTATTCATGCCAATGTGCTATATCCCAAGTTCCTAACTTGACTCCTAGTTATTCCTTTAGTCATATTATCATGCAATTAAGCAGGTTCCAATATCACCTTATAAACTTTATGTGGTTGAAAATGGGGCTGTTGTGTGTTATGTAAGCAAACCCTTTATTATTATTTTTTTATCTATGGCATGCTATTGTTGCTCCAAGATCATCTTTACTGTAACCATGGCAGCCTCTTCCATCCCAGTCTGCTAATAGTAACTTTATCTTTGTTATTGCAGAACACAATACGAAGCCGGACAAGAGAGTTATTGCAACACATGAAGGCAGAACTTGGTGCCCAAAATTTTATTCCATCTGTGTCTTTGAGTGAAAGCTCTTTCTATCTCACATGCACACAACTTTGAGATATTTGTTTAATTGTTCTGTAATTGGCAATCTTTGGCACTGAAAATAACTCTTGTTTTAAAAGAGCCTCTTAACATTTATGAAATTAGGACTTCCCTGTTAAGTCTTTACTTTGACTGCCTAGTAAAATCTACCAAAAAGTGATATAATCAGCTAAGAATTGTTCCTAATACAAAGACTTACAAATTCTCAACTAGAAATGTTTAATGTTGACTGTCAAAAACTTGTAAAACCTAAGGCTAGCCCAATTAAGTCCATGCCCATAAAAGAAAAAAAAACACAAAAGCAAATACCTCTAGCACAATTGGCAGAATAGTATTGTACTGTTTCAAAGCAGCCAATGGTGAAGCTAAAACACTGCAGGCATATTGAAACACACTCAATATTTTTCTTTTATTCAAAATTGAGGACCAGCCTTCTGAATGATGCCATGTTCATAAAAACACCAGCAGTAAGATGGGCTTGCACAAGCAGCTTCAATGCTGGAAGCAATACTCAAATTTGAGAAATTTATTGAACCCAAAGGGGGAAAATACAAATGCAAATAATTAGTATCCCAATAAAACACTTCCTGTTAAAAAAGATTGCCTTAAATTGAAAGAAGAGAAAAGGTACACCCTTTTCCTTTGAGTGCTTAGTAGGTGGGGTAAGAGGTATTTAGAGGTGGCCTAGCAAAGCTTTTAGAGATATATGATTTACCCCATCAGTAAGGATTCTTTGATGCCCATTCTTTGTGCCATGCCACCACCTTTCTCCTTACCCAACCTCCTTAAGAAGCCAAGTACCCCTTTGTAAGATTGCCCATTAGAACCATCACCATTTTGTGATGCCTTGGTTACTAGAATGCCTGTCCTTATCAACAAATGTAAGGTTTTTTATAGATTTTTATTATATTTAATTAAATTATTATTATTTTATTTTAAATTTATATAAATTTTTATATATTTAATATTTATATTAAATAATTATATTATTATATTAAATAAATATACTACGACAATGTTGTTATTACATGTTAATATAATATAATAATATTTTATATTAACGTCATATAATATAAAATGATAAATAATATTTTAATTAATAATTATTTAATTAAAAAATTATTTAATTTAAAATAAAAATATAATAAATTAATTAAATATAATAAAAAATAAAAAATATTTATATATTTTTAAATAATTTTAAAATTTTTATAAAAATCGTATCAAACATAAATGAAAGGTTTGCTTGAAAACTATAAAAGAATTGAGCAATTAGCTATAATTATCAATAAATAAATTAGTTTCTCCTATACACAGTTGTGTCTCTCCTGAAGCAAAGAGAAGGAATAAAAAAAAAAGGGAAAAAATAATAAAAAAAAGCCCGTCCCCCATTTCTAGCTGAAAACTCTTTTCAAGCAAGGCTCGTAACTTGAAATACTCGAAAAGCAAAACAAAATCGAAATCGGATGAATTTTTGAAAGGAAATTTTAGGGTTTCCATTTCATTATGTCTTCGATAAAGATGAACTCCTGCAACAGCAGCAATGGCGAGAGCAAAAACGGGAAGAGCAGCAGTTTAGCAAGCGTAAACCAAGATCTCGGCTTATACTTCTTGGAGCTGGCTCGGCTTGGCTCAGCTAAGGCTCCGACGGAGATGGAGGAGGATGAGGAGGAGGCTCCGAAAGAGCTCAACACGATCAATAGCTCGGGAGGATTCTTGGTGGTGGCCACTGATAAGTTGTCGGTGAAATATATGAGCGTTAACCTCCATGGCCACGATGTCGGAGTGGTCCAAGCCAATAAACCGGCTCCAGTGAAGCGGCTGCTTTATTACTTTGAGATTTATGTGAAGGACGCTGGGGCTAAGGGACAGATTGCTATTGGATTCACCAATGAAAGCTTCAAGATGCGGAGACAGCCCGGGTAATTTAGGGTTTTTTTTGTTGTTTTTAGAAAGGAGTTTTAATTGGAGTTATTGGTGTTGTTTATCGTTCAGACTTAGCGTTTTGTTTTGTTAATTTGAATTGGTTTGCATATTTGGTTAATGAAAGAAAGAAAAGGGGAATAGTAGAAATGAAGAAGAAGAAGAGAGTGTTTTTGAATTGTTTAGTTATGGAGCAAGAGAGGGGAAAAGGGGAAAGTTATAGTGAGAATTTATTTTCTTTTACTTCTGATTTTTAGTTTTATTAGGTAATTTTTTTTTTTAATTTTTGGTTTGATGAGGAAAAGGCTAAGCAATGAGGAAGAAAGTGTTTTAAATAGGTAATGTTTTTTTTTTGAAAGATTTAAATAGGTAATGTTTATGTTTATTGAGTGCAACATAGAAAAGAAAAAAGTTTTAGCACTAAATAATTGAAAGTGCCACACTTTGCTGTAGTAAGAAAAGGAATGATCTTTTGTTGAGGAGTTTTATCTTATTGTTCTTTCATTTCAATTGAGTTTTTGTCTGGTTTTAAGGAGAGGTTCGGGAAATTGCCAGAAATGAATAGAGAAGTAACGCCTCCTATGTGAGAGTATGTCTTTTTAGTGCTCAGGACTGTGCAGGAAGAAAATAAAGAGAGGAGAATGGTTTTCCTTTTTTTTTTTTATGTTTTTTTTACATTGTTAGTGACATTAGCCTTTTCTAAGGGAGAAGGAAATGTAATCAGGAGGACATCATTCAATTAGGTCTGCTTAGTTGGGTTTGTCAATTTTCTGAGAAAGTGTAGGTAAATAAAAAAGATTCATTTGTCTTGACTTCTTACTTATATATAATACAGAATCAAAGTATTCTTCTTATCTGAGGCAGGTGGGAAGCAAACAGTTTTGGGTATCATGGGGATGATGGATTTTTATATCGTGGACATGGAAAGGGAGAGGCTTTTGGTCCAACTTATACAACAGGAGATACAGTTGGTGGTGGCATAAACTATGCTTCACAAGAGTTCTTTTTCACGTAAGATACAGTTTCTGCCATGTTCTGTACATAGGAGCACTTGTGCCTTGTTCATCTATGTTGCTTGATTGTAAAGCTCGATTCATTTCTGAAGGTTCTCATGATTTTGTGTACGCATTATGTTGATGCCAGTAAAAATGGGACAATAGTGGGAACGGTTTGCATGGTAAAGGAAATCAAGGGTCCCTTATTTCCTACAGTTGCTGTTCACAGCCTAAATGAGGAGTATGTCTTACCTTCTCTTTTGTATATTTATATGAATTCTCTCATTATATGTTGTAACAAGGTACCCATATTTGCAGTTAATGAAGATAGGAATAATAAAAATATCATCTCTCTGTTCTTTCTTCTCTAGTTGTAGTTTTTCGATCATGTTGTTCTTTTGCTACATGATATTTGAGGTTTCTCTTCAATGAATGAGCAGTGATGTGTTAGTTATTACACTTTTGTTTCTGGTATTGTCCAAAGTTGTGTCTAGCCTACAGAAACTACTTTTGAGGGGTAAATTTAACTAGAAATTGCACTTAGGTTGGTAAAAGATAGTTGTTTCTTTCTAGAAACTCAGTTGTAGTAATGTTTCTGCTTGAACTTGTTCAAGCATATTCATGACAGTGAGGGAGCAAAAGTCAGTTGCAAACTATTTATATGGCTATTAACCTGAGTTGAAATAAAATTTTTTGAGGTGGTCTTGAGCTTGAATGTGGCTTGAACAAGCAAATGAATTGATTAAGCTGAAATTGAGAAATTTGGTGCTGGACTCAGCTCATCTTGTTTACATCCTTATCATAGGGCTAGTTGTGCTTTGTGTTTTCATCTATCAAATATACCAAACATGAGCTTGCTTCGGTGGCAGTTGAGTTGAATTTTATTCCTACTTGGTTAATGAAGGCATTGGGTTTGTACAAAGGAATTGGTGTTTTGTTGATAAGAATAGAGGGCACCATATAAAAGATGGTTGGAATATATAAAATGATAGTGTAAATTGCTAAAACCCTACATACTTACAATCTCCTTTTAAATTTTTTTAGAATGCAGACTTCCCGTTGATACCTGCAAAAGGTGTGGGGAGTTGATTGATACCACAAATGACATCTTGAGAGGCAAATTTTATATTTTCAAACACTTGGGGTATGTTGTAATTAGGCTATATCATCAAGGGGGACTTTTGTGTTTAACTCAAAATGGTAAAATTATGCCTGTTATGATTGTTATGTTCTATGTTGAAAGTGATGTTTGTCATGATTCTGTTAGATTTAAGAATTAAATGAACTCTTCTCCTTCATTGCATGCTTGTAGGTTGTCCTTTCTAGTGATTGGTGATCAGTGGCTTGTTTGTTAGTTAGAAGCCTCTAAAAGATGCAATTATGATACATCTTCTCTATTTCTTTTGATTTTTCCCCACTATTTCTTTGGTATTTATTGTACGTTTTCATCACAATGCAAGTAGTTACTGTCAAAGTGGTGATGGTTTTGAGTTGTACAAAATGAGTTTTGATTTCAAATTGTGCAGGGTTCATGTCAACTTCGGGCAAAAAAAGTTTGCTTTTGATCTGAAGGCAAGTTATGCTTTAACTTTTTCCAGCATATGCAACCTGAGTTGCAGTATACCTTAGTTCTCTTAGCCTGTGATATTAAGTGATTGCTTTAAGGTTTTTAGTTCTATTTACCTATTTATTATTTTTGTTGTCATACTATTAGGAGTACGAAGCTCAAGAGAGGTTGAAGCAGCAAATGACAATTGAAAAGATATCTCTACCTCCAAATATTAGTTATGGGTAAGTTTTATCATTCGCTGCTAAATAGCATTTTCTGCTTTGTGTGGTTTTGCATGTCTTTCCCAATGTGATCAACTATTGAATGATATGATGTTTGTGGTTAAAGAAGTGTCCAAAATCCTTAAATTCAAGGTACTACTTCTATAATATAGTACTTTCTGTAAAATAGAAGTTTCTGGTTGAGGCGTTGATGCTAATATTAATTACATGCTCTTAGAGGTGGAAAATGGGTACATTTGGATTGGGTCATTTCAGGTTTGGGTTGATTTGTGTTCGGATCGTCTCAGGTTCAGGTCTATCCATGTTAGGGTCCTTGACTTTTTTGTCAACTCGGATTTTGTCGGGTTAGATTTCAGGTTTTTGGGATAGGTTTTCGGATAGGTTTTC